ATATCAGAATTGTTTGTGTGTACTGTACAAAATCAGAGATAGTTGTGAAAAGTTATAGTGTGTAAAGTTGTTTACTTGTAACAAAAAAGACATTTTACATTAGAAAGTTTGTAAGCGACGAAACTGGATTTTAAAAACCTATCAAAGTTAATTATTAGATTTTCATTATTATTTTTTTATTTAGTAGAGGAGGATTTAAAAGACAGAAAAATAAACAAAGTTTCTATTCCAAATCCCGAAAGAAAAGAACAAAAATACTGTACACGGTACAATTAGAAAATGAACGAGATGAACGATACTCAAACAATGAGTGCTGGATAAAAACTGAGAAACGGGGAAGATGAGAGCATCTCACGTTCAAGTTTTCTTTATGAATATTTTCTTGATTTTTTTCCCGATAATTTTCTGCTTCTTGTTTGCTGAATCCATGGAAACTGCAACCACAAAGGGCCAAATACTATAATCAGAATAAAGCCACCTGTCTACAAAGTCACTTGTGGGGCTCAAAAGGTAACGAGAAAATAATACACTAAATCGCTACACTGAGAAGATTGCTATGCATTTAAGTTGTTCTCTCTCTCTCTCTCTCTCTCTCTCTATATATATATATATATATATATATATATATATATATATATATATATATATATATATATATATATATTCTCTCTCTATGTTCTATATATATAATCTATCTATTTATATATATATATATATATTCTCTCTATATGTTCTTATATATATTTATATATATATATATATATATATATATATATATATATATATATGAAATGATATAAAACAAACAAAAATCATATGCGATTATGTATGTTTTAATGTTTAATGTCAATGTACATTAAAAACAGCATAATCGCATATAATTTTTATTTATTTTCAGTTAAAACATAATAATCTCTCTCTATGTCCTATATATATATAATATATATATATATATAATGTTCTCTCTCTCTCTATGTCCTATATATATATATATATAATCTATCTATCTATATATATATATATATATATATATATATATATATATATATATATATATATATAATAAGTAATGAAAATCTTGGTAATCTGTAGGATGATCCCAAGGAGGATGAAAACCAGAGAGCTCAATGTTAAATCAGAGCGAATAAAAAAGTGTAAGTTTAAATTCAATTTTTTCATCCTTGGAAGTGAGGTCTGATGATCCAGGAAACAAGAAAATCCTACCTCGGGGATTTAAATTATAACATGGAACCTTAAAGTTGTGTCGGAATTAGCTCCTCCTTAACCCTTCACCAGGGGTCTCTCTCCCCTGGCTATAAATACTGGCTGACCCTTCGCCTCGACCTCTTTTTTCCTCAGGCCTTCAGCCTTATACCACCTCGCAGATGTGAGCTCTCACAGATACAGCGTTTCCCAAATTCTGGGAACACGCTAAGAACAATACACGTACGTACGAACACTCACCACAACACACGCACATAATATTCACAACACGCACTCTGTCCATGTAACTGTCCATGTGCTTGTAACCTTTAACTTGCTATTAATACATATATTTGTTTACATATATTTATCGGTCTTGTTTGTTTTCTTTGGACTTAATTAAAGTCCAATATTCTCATGTAGTTGGACCGGCTAGCAGGAAATTTTAACTCACGTGTGTTCTTCTACATACTCATCACCGCCACGGTCCGCTACAGTTGTCTGGTTTTCTTTAAATTAATATATATAGAGAGAGAGAGAGATAGATAAGATGAGAACGAATAGAGTACAATTCCATCGTTCGTAACATGCTATTTAAAAGAGCGCTCAGTACAAAGTAGAGCAATAATATTTATTTTAGGATATTACACCGAAAACATGTCAAAATAGCTATACAATTGCAATCGTTTTTCGATGTGTAGCAATGCATCTCATCAGATAATTGTAAATTACTGGCAAGTGAACGATTTATTCAGATTTAAAAGCAAAATACAACCTCTTTTTACGAAAAAAAAGAGGGTTATAACGTTTGTTGGCTTCACTCTAATCAACCAATCAAATATGGCCTACGTTAAATTTAAACTAAGCGAAGAAGCAAAAATTTTAAAATTATTTTTTATAAATGGGTCATGACCCGTAAATTGGCAGCTAACAGCAGCACCGATATAAAGAGGAGCGAATGTTAATGAATCCATAAATTATACGAACTAGACAATACCATTTGCTAAGAAATAAAAATGGGGTGGAGAAGTAATTTAACAAAATGCTAAATAAGTTGTGAGTTTCCTACATAATTTTTTTATAGTTGATAAATAAATAGCTTCTTTAAGAACCTAGTAAATAATTTAAACGTATAGAATTATTTGTTAAATTAATATTCAACTGTTGAATAAAGATTCTTCATATAAGACGTTAATAACAATAACCAATTAATATATATATATATATATATATATATATATATATATATATATATGAATAAAAAACAGACCACGTTAAGATTCCATGTAATAAGCTATTTCACCATAACCCCTTTAACAGGGTTCTGGATCATCAGACTTTACTTCCAAAAGCTAAAATGAAAAGAAATTCACGTTTTTGACGGACCTCATCAAGTATACGTAAAATTGAGGAAGTGAAGTGGGAGAGAGGATATGAGTTTGTCATATGTATCATTTCAATTTCTTATTTTTAACCCCAGCGTGTTGGCTAGATGTTGCTCAAATTTAACGCGTCTCGTCTCTAGATATAGATGGCTAAGGGGTGAATGAGAAGAACGACATTAAAGGAAGAAGCTACAACAACCCCAATCAATTACACGACAGGTTTCATTCAAATTCTTAGACACTGTTAATTCGCGTTACTTTAACGTGCATATTTGGGAGGTTAAGATTTGATAAATATCTAAATATTTAAACAATCTACGAAGAAACCCAAAACTCCACCGAATTTCAAATTAATTTCTTCGTAGATTGTTTAAATATTATTTATTATTTTTTTTTTTTTTTTTTTTACAAATTGGTCAAACTCAAACAAAAACATTGTTTTCAATCGTTATGAGTCTACCGATTGAATAGAATTTTATTATAAACAATTGTCTTGTAAATGGAATTTTTAAAGCATTCTGAATGTAAAAATAAAGAAAAAAGTGTGCAAGACAATAAGAAACACTACCTGCCAAAAAAAAAGTGAAATTTTGTTGAAATAGGTTGAAAAATGTAGGAAATCCGATCCCATATATAAACGAACAAACACACACACACACACACACACAACCTGGGTTTTATAATAAGTATAACTCGATACCCGATATTAATAAGTATAACTCGATATGATTTGTCCCCCTTTTCATTAATGCCTCTTAATCGTGTTTTCAAATTGATTTTGTGCAAAGACAATTGTGTTTTTCCAATTTTTGGTGCTGTCAGAACCACCGCAAGGTACTTTTACGTAGCCCTGTGAAATTTTGTTGAAATCGGTTGAAAGATGTAGGAATTCCGATCCAATATATAAACGTACAGACACACACACACACACAATCTGCGTTTTATAATAAGTAAGATATAAGATATGGCACATTGAGTGATGGTGTTAATAAAATAGTGCTCGATGCCATGTAACAGAGCTATTAAGTATATATTAATAAATATACATATTATTTTTCACCAATAGCACGACTCGGAGTTTCATGCACAACGCAATCTTCAGATGCTGAGTATTCAGCACTTGAAGACTGCGTTCTGCATGAAACTACCGGTGACGAATTATATATACATGGGGGGGTCATTTGTTTTGTTACAATTGGTAACGCCTTTCCGTTACAAACCATTAACATAATCGTAAATTGACTTAAGATTTTTCTTAATTACTTCTCGCTAATTAAAATAGGATATGTCATCATTAAAAAAAAAAAGGACATCACGATGATTATACCATAATTTACCTAAGTATGTTATTCACTAACTATTTAACCTCAGTCCTAACTGTAATTTAATAAGAGTAGATGTTTGCCTATCGTCCGGTTCACATTCCTCCCGTATCTATTAAACGGAAGTAAAGGTTTAGCTCTTGTTTCCTGTTTAGGATTGGATTCCGGGTTCCTTCTAAAGTCGATTTCAAATCTATGCTTCTAAGGTCTCCGTCTGAAACTCTAGAATTTTATTTACTATTTATTTTATTTTTTTTCTTACTAGGAGTAGATAGGTTCGCGTGTTTCACACTCTTTCCCGGTCTTTTGAACAGGAGTAGAGGTTTATCCCTTGTTTCCTAAAACCTCTTCCTTCTCTTTCACTTCCGGTAGTCCCTTGCATTTTGATGCTATTATCTCCTTGCTTGAAATGATGCCTCTTTCTCTGTAACCCTCTACTTTGAGTGGCTCTTGGACCTTGTACAGGATGAATATCATTGTAAAAAAAATTCTAAGAAATAAAATGCAAAAAATAAGGTATTATACGTCAACGTCATTACAATTATCTGCAATTTTATTTTAAAAGCTACCCTCCTTCTAAAAATTATTATAGATAATGAGTCCCACCAACCCAGTAGCACAACCTGAACTTTTAACCTGCTGGTATCCAGGACAACATGTTTCCAGATGTTACACAATCCTTTTTTGCGGTATTAATTTTTATTACAATAACAAAATTTTCTAAAATTTAAAAACCCAACAAAACGGAAAAGCAGGACATCTTGGAGAATGTAAATCGTCAACTTTTTTTTTCCTAATTTACACCAACTTTTCTAAAATCTGCTCTAAGTTGTAAAATGAAAGCTGCAATAAAACTATCTAATTATTTAGATAAGATTTTAATTGTTTCTATAGTCTTACCTAGTGTTTATTTATTCAAACTAATACAAGATTATAGTCGTAGAGCGCCAATAAAAGACTAAACTCACTGAACTTTTTAGGCTTTTCCCTATGATGCCACGTCAAGTTAACTTTTAAGCTGGGTCAAAATGACTCTTAAAAAATTGCTAGCTTTTTTTTTCTTTCTTTTCATTGTTTCGTATTCTTCAACATGGCGCCGTCCATAACATATGTGGCTGCGGCAATTACGTGTCTCAAACTTTTGTTAATACCTTCCTAGTAAGTCATTAATCATGTATTTGCAATATTTTTTCTCCTTACCAAATCAAACTGTGATTTGCTCCGTACGACACTTTTATTTACTGATGATAATTATTAAAAATATAAAATATTTTTAACTATCGAATGCTTTCATTTTCCTTGTCGAATACATTTTCATTTGGATACTTGAATTATTATTTTTATATTCTGATGCTTTAAAATCGCATGTAATGACGATTTAAATACGATTGTAGTTGTACTATTTCGCCTTTATAGCAAAACAAGCTAACATAAATAAATGAAACAGTTCGAACTCAATGTGTAGAAAAACTAAAAAGTTTCTGAGATCTGGGGTATAATGGGTTAGATTTGTTTGTTTTTTTTTATTTATTTTTTTAACATTTCGTTATTAAACAACCAAGCGAAAAAATGCATCTATGTTACCCAACTATATTCTATCTTTTTTAGCAGTTTTTACTTAAAATACTCCGATCGATTTCTTTTGATTTGTTGAAGTTGGCCCAACATTGTTTGGGTTTAGTAGTCGCTCTAGCAGCTCTATATTGAATATTGGCAATGATATTATAAAAATTAAAACTTAACGTTTTATGAACTTTAATGTTAACATTATGTTGTTAAATGGTATTTATTGACACGTACGCATTTATGTTCAACGTAGTCTGGCACAGGGCACTCAATCGCGACAGGATCGAATAAAATTTTATAAGATATAGTCTGCGACACTTTTTCTACGGGTCACTTTATGTCATAAAGTTTATGACAAGTGTATTTAATGTAAAATTATTTGTTAAAAAACAATGATGGTGGCGAGAGAATTTTTTATAGTTTTTTTTTTTTTTAATATCAATCGAAGTTTATTTTTTTAATTTTATTTTTAGCCCTAGTTATAAAGTTTATGTGTGTGTGTTTTTACGTAACCGTAAATTCTAGTTTCTTTTATCAAACTTTTCACTTGCAAAAATCCTTCCGACTCAATGCTTTTCCAGTCAACTTTAACCTGCAAAAATTTAAATGCAATGTCAATCGCTATGTAATGTGCTCCTGATTAATCTTCCCACACATTGTTAATGTTTCTGTTCCTAATTCTTCTACACCCTCAGTAACCCCTTGCGTCTTTACTGCCTTGCGTGAGGTGATACCGATTTAAAAAAAAAAAAATCTGTTGCTGATTGGTCAATAATTTTAATTAACTTTGTGAAAGATGTTTATTAACACTTTGTTGCAATAAACATTTCTCCTCCCTTATACATATGATTGACAAAAAACATTCTTTTTTAATGTGAAGTTGGGCAAATTTTAAGTTTTGAAAATTTATACATTAAACAAAAATAACAGATTTTTATTCACTGATTGTGTAGGTGTGGCATATACAGTCAATTTTTTTTTATATTTTATATTATTTTCTTGTTTGTAATTAAAAACTGTAAAATGTATATTTGTTTATTTTTGCTTTAAAATATTAAATTAAAAATTTCTTTATTTTACAGTAGATCAACAGATTTTGAAGTCCACAGAAACTGGTTAGCAATTACACACAGTTTACCCATCAAGAAATGGTATTATGAGGTAAGAAAGTTTTTTGGTTTTTTTTTCTTTTATAACTTATAATAAATAAAAGTCAAAATGGTTTTTATCTGTTCACAATCAATGCAGAATTCCCCAAAATGCCACTATCCAAATTGTTTATCTATGATCTGACAACATTTATTTATTAAAGGTTGAAACAGTTGAAAGTACTGAAAGACCTAAATCATAAACTTTGGGCAGTTTATCCATATCTTTTATTTTGATGCTTAACAACTTGTTTGGAAATTGAAAAATGCAATTAAAAATGTAAATTAACACCCCTTGTTTGTTGAATTTAATAAATCATATATATATATATATATATAATAACTCAAAAAGAAATCTTAAACAGTCAAACATGTAGAGAAATTAACAAATAAAACAACCCCCCTTGAAAATGGCTAAAGAAGTTGTCAAAAATGCTTGGACAGTGAACAATATGGACAATTTTTGCACTTCCTTACTCCTACCAAACCATAAAATGTAAGAATACTGTAAAAACTAAATAAAAATCAATTAATTTTTTTTTGTCTGTCACATTTAATGAAAGATATTTAAAAGAAAGGTTCCTGTCCAAATATACATTAATATATATATATATATATATATATATATATATATATATATATATATATAATTTAACCTAAAAATCTAAAATTACCTTTTATGGGGTATAGACCTATTTCAAATTGAAGTTGAAATAGGTCTATATCCCATATAAAGTAATTTTGGATTTTATGGTTTACTACTATTTATTTGCTCTGTATAATAAATACATTTAGCTCTTTTTGTGGATCAGTTTTAATATCTTTTATTATATTACTAGGATCCACTTGGATTATATACCAGTGGATTTATTACCTATATATATATATATATATAATAGCTGGCCACTCGTATTCGAGGATGCCCATCTACTAGGATAGCTAGTCAATCCCTATTGCAGACACTCACTCAGGCCCAGTTGTGTTTGCTCAACACCTACAGAACCCACCTGTGGTTTATACTGCTACTATTCTGAGCAGCCAAAGTTACAATTTCTGGGAGAGAGCATGTTGTCTAGCGTGATCAACAATTTGAATGAGGCCAGTACACTCAAGCCCTCGGCTACAATGACTTGTGACTTTGTTCTAGCACAGCTATCAACGGCCCTCAAGAGTTCCATCTACCCAAATTCACTCACAGGGCTTGGGTCAACCTGTGGTATGGTTTTCAGGCACTTTCCAAAGGAGCCACATGTTGGGATCGACCTCGATCCATTCCAATAACATCAAGAAGTCTCCTTCCTGATAAATCAACCATCGTAAGATTCAAACCTGGATCTCATGGTCAGGAAGCAAACATGCTAACCACTCAACCATGTGACCATACATATATATATATATACACACACAAACAAACAAACATGTAATATGTTCTCCTTTTAGATGCCTATTTACCCTTCCCAAAATATTTGAAAATTATGTTTTTAATACTTCAAACATTATTATGGTGGATACTCATATATGACTATCCTTTATAATAATATTTGAAGTAATATAAATTTTGAATTAAAAATGAATCCATTAATTCTTTAGAAATTGCTTTGTTTACGTTTTGGATACAAAACTGAGGAGATATGTACTTTTGAGAAAAATGTCTTAATGAAGAAGTATGCTTTCCTTAAAAGGGAAAATAGATGTTTGATTCACTGTGATGCTTTCATGGCAGAAAAAACGTAAAGCACAGTAAATCAAACACCAGTTTCTCCTACAAAGGGGGTGTAGGTTTGCTTCCAGTCAGCAACCACATTTTCGTTAAGATTTTTCGAATATGCAGACCAGGCTGATAGACATAATACACATTGTTTAAAGTAAAAATAAAAATAGTGCGTTTATTTAAAATATGAGTATTTATGATAATAATATTTAAAGTCATAAATATACACAAACATCTTTTGAGTTTCAAATCAGCAGGCAAAGATATTTATTCTTTTTGCTTTTTTGGAAGAAATATCTACTCAGAAAATCCTCATTCCAACCACTTCTTATATTAAATATTTAGTAAATTTCTTCCTACCCCATAATTTAGGCTGCAAGTATTCTTAGACAAGCATCTCCTACGTAAAAATTATTAAAAAAAAAAAAAGATTCTAGTCACTCCTTTTATTCCAACCACCCACTTTCTATAGTAAATTCAAGGAAATGTGAATGAAGAAAACTACCAATTCAAAAAAATAAAATAATAAAATAAAACAGTTTTGTCTCAATATAATGCAAAAGAATTATTTTAAAATAAAAAAAAAATAATGCATGCTTCTCTAAATAAGGTTATTTGGTTACTATCATTTGGTACAATGGGTCAGAGCATTTACTCAGCTACTTAATTTCTGAATGCAGTATTTTTAATGAATATGTTTTTGTAACTTTGTTATTATTATCATCTGCATAACAGGGTTGAGATCTCATTCCAAATACACAGATGTACTTTAAAATTGCTTGAAAACTGTCTTGATTTTAAACCATAGCACAAACGAAAATGCAGAAAATTATATTTTTTATCACAAAATTAATAAAGACTGAATACTTTGTAACTCAAATGACTTAACACATCTGAATTTTAATATTGAGATATGTCATAATGTTATATGGTAGTAAGATTTTTAGTTGCATTGGCAGCTGTATTTGTTACTTTAAATACTGATGATGAATGGGACATTTTTTTACTAGTCAGTTATGTGCCATGTGATACATGACTGACGAGGCAAATTTTTTCCCGCAGTAGGTTTTCTACTAGAAGAAAATTAAATAGAATGCCGGTGAGAAGATTGGTGTGAAATTTGGTTCAAGGGAGAAAACTCTTATTTCAGTGAAGATAAATCAATTGAAATACAATTTATGGAAAAGTTTACAGATTTCTTTATTGTCATTTATATCTAAAACATTTCAGAAATTTAATCTCAACCTTGTATTGATATTCAAACGATGGATTAAAACCATTGTTATTAGATTGATATAATGATTAAATAATTCATTGTAATAATCTAATAAAAAAGATGGTAATCTGTAACTTGGATACCAATACAAGGTTTGTGACTACAATAATTTGGCAATCTTGAACCTTTGTATCCCCCCAAAAAAAGCAAAGTGTCAATAGGATGCTTTTTCCTTTTATTTTAATTACCTTCACTCCTTAGCAATTTTTATCATTGTAAAAAGCAATGATTAGAATTGTAATAAAATCTAAACTAGTAAAGTGGATTTATACATTTTTTGTTCTCGAGAATTAACAACAAAAATAATAAACATTATTTATTTATTAGATTGTTTATTTAGACTATTTATTCATTATATTGTTTATTGGAATGGTTGGCAAAACCTCAGCTAATTGAAATCAATTCAAACTTTATAAAATAGTAAATAAGGATTTTCTTATAGTTGGTTCACATATTTTAATAATTTAGTAAATGTTTATGAATAAAAAATTATTTTCATATTTATTTGTTTATAAATTGGTAAATGGTAAATATTGCATTGCATTAGTTTTAATACAATTGCATTTATTACGATAATGCTGTAAATATAAAATTATTTTTGTAAATAAACAAACTAATAAATAGTGTTTAATATTTTTGTTATAAATTCTCAAGAACAAAAAATGTATAAATTCACTTTCATCATATCTTTAAGTTTTATTCCAATTATAATCATCACTTTTTAGAACAATAATAGGAGTGAAGGTAGTTTAAATAATAGCAGTGTCAAGGGAAAAACTATCCTTTTGACCATTTTTTTTTTTTCAGGCACAAACATTCAAGATTGTCATAATTCTCTATCTGATCTAATAAACATGATTCAATTTCTGTTTGAAGATATGTTTGTTAGCATAACACAGTAAAAAATGGCACATCTCACTGTGATTTTTGTTAGAGCAATACTGTTAGTCAAAGTCAAGTTCAATTTACAACTTAATAGTGTGAGTTTAAATTTGTATTCATTCTGAAACTAACAATCTGATTGTTGGTTTGTTATAAAATCATAAAAGAAAATCATATCAACACTGGAATGTGATACTATGGACATAACTGGGGAAGAGGCAATCTCAAGTATTACTGTTTGGTAGGCCAGAAGATGCATTGTTTTGATATTCAGTCTTCTCAGCAGCATCCATTTTACTCAAAAGTTAATGAGAGGTAAAGGGCTGATTGAAGGATTTTTATAGATCAAGTGACAACAAAACTGGAAATAGGGGTATATCCGGTTGCTGGTCTATATTAACAGTCATTCTTGGGATCAGAGAGAGTGCTGGTTCACCCTTGGTAGTAGATGGACATGTTCATGTCATAATTCCAAAGTTTCCACTTTTCATACTTGCCAGTTACTACATTGGGATGAGTAGATAGGTGATTGGTAGGGAGAAGAGCTAACATCGCAGTTTTCTTCATTATCACCTACCTATTCACCTGGATGAACAGGCAAATTCTTATTTCTCAGCATGGCTTTTCCTTCATTGTGTTTACTTTATGAGCTTAATGTATGCCCTTCCCTAAACCTCGTTGAACATTACAAGATTGAGAATTAGAACACAACGTGGGTTGATCATTTACTGGTCAGTGGAAAGCTTGAGTGAGGGTCACATTATAGGTTTACAGAAAGAGGCAAAGAAGTTTTTAAAAATTACTAATTGCAGTATAAAATAATGATATTTCATAAAAAGGTCTTTTCCCCTCTTTTCATAAAAGAGGTCTTTTTTCCTTATTTTAATAAAAGGTCTTTTTTCCCTATTTTTGTAAAAGAGGTCTTTACTTATATTTTATATCTAAATAATTCATGCAAAAAATTATTGATCCATTCATTTTTTCTTATTTCATATGGCTGTTTGCACATTATTACAAATATTATTTTTTTTTACATTTTAACACGGTTTTTCTTAAGGCAATTCTATAAAAATGATTTAACTTGAAGATTGAAGCAACTCCTAGTTAATTTTGAAATTCCATAAGCATTGTCAGCATTCATACTCACCCAAATAATAATGATCCCATGTTTGTGTTTGGTTTGGTTTATTTTGTTTTATTGCATATCAACCTCAATAAGCTATAGAAGAGGTTTGTATGAATAGAATATGTATTTGTAAGAAGTCAGTTTGTAGATAAGGTTTCATTGACATATTTTTGTAAAGAGGGTTTTTGTCAATGTATTGCTGGTAATATTTTTTGTTTTCAAAAATGTAATGCTGGTATTTTTACTATAAAAATCTATTTTAATACTATCATTGTGTTTTGATCTCAGTTTGGGGGCTAACTATTTGCCCATAGATGCAACCATAAGTTCTATGCTAACAGTTTCTTTCCTTGCATTTCTCACCTGTGGAACTCCCTTCCGGCTCCATGTTTTTCAACCAACTTTATATGCAATGTCAATTGCTATCTACTGTTCTTTTGATTACACTTTCTTCTTCTCAAACATTATTAATGTTTTTGTTCCTAATTCTTCCACACCCTGTAACTCCTTGTTTCTTAGTGGCTTTACTGCCTTGCATGGAAAGATACCAATTTAAAAAACATAAGAAAAGAAGGTCTGTTCATGTTCAGGAAGATTTTCAAAATAGTTTCTTTTATTTATTTGCAAATATACAAATTCTATAAAAAGTAAGCGACTTCCACAATCTTTAAACAAAATATAAAGGACACAAACTTTTAAAAAAAAAAAAAAAGAAAAAGAAGTATAAGCATAGTAGTATTAAAATTATTCTAATTATTTAGACAGTGACCATAGCTGACATGAGCCAAAGTGACCTCAAGTTATGAAAAATTGGTCATATGTTTGAATTAGATTCAAGAAAGTTTCACTCTCAAAATGAGAGTAAATATTTACTTGCCATGTAATATATATTTTATTTATTTAATATATATTTTATTTATTTAAATGTATAATTCATATTACTTGTAGGATTCTTTTATTGCTATTATTTCAGGATACTTCGATTTGGACATTGGATTACCCTCCATTATTTGCCTGGTTTGAATTTGGTCTTTCTCAAATTGCCCAGTTCTTTGATCCACAGATGCTGGTGATCCGTAAAGATCCATACGCATCTTTGGCAACGATATACTTCCAACGTCTGTCTGTAATTTTTTCTGACTTTCTTCTTATCTATGCTGCTCATGAGTAAGTAATTTTCTTTTTTGTTTTTTTAATTTTCACACATATAACGTTTCATATATTCAATGTTTTCACAGAGATTTTTTTAATTCTAAAGTTAACCATGTATGAGGTTCAAGAACCACTCTACCATCTGGCTCTTCAGCCTCTTACGGAGTGAACTTTACAATTTAAAAAATCTCTCTGAATATATAAAATGATATATATGCAAAAATACTGCATGAGGTGTTTGATATGAATTTAAGTGGTGGCAGAAAGAAATGAAAATGATAAGGATGTGTGGCTAATAGATGTTTGACACTTGACTTGAGGTTAAGATTGTAGTGTTTAGAGAAACTTCCATGCAGGAGATTGTTCCTAAAAATAGAAGTTCCTGGAGAAAATGGCAGTGATTTGATTCTGGATATGGTGAGTTCTTGCTGTAGAGCTCTGAACTGCTGGAGCTGAAGATTTCTCTTGGAAATAGCAATAGAGTAATGGTACATTTGTAATGTTGCATCTTTGAAAAAGATATTAATTGTATGCTTACTTATTTGACAAATAATATTGTGTATGAATAAAATATTGTTAATAAAGAATGTATTTTTCAGACTCTCCATGTCTAAATTGTTTCATCCTACAAAATGCTACAGCTAGTCCTTTTTCTAACCATACACAGGTTGTTAGGTTACCAGATATACGTTGGGCAGTCTTGGTAGTATCCAGCTGTCAAAAACAGTTAATTACCTAAACATAAAAATGGCTAAGCAGTAATCAGAAAAGCATAAATGAAATCTTTATTTTCTAAAAAGGAACATGCTAACAAAGTATAGAAATGAGTTACATGCCTTCTCACCAACCCTGAAAACAAAAACTAGTGTATATTGCAAAAAGTTGTCTTTACTCACAAGGCAGGCACATCATCTTGCAAACGGTTCTATCTACCCACAAGTCAAGAACACATCTTTTCTCACCAGTGTATATGAAAACATTGTCCCTCTGCAAAACAGGTCTCCACTGATTGGTCATTAAGGGTCACGTTACCTGCTAAATGTGATACATACTAATCACAGTAGGTAAGTTATCCTAGCAAGGTAAATGTATCCAGTGTCGTCTTGTTTGCCTTTTATTGCTTATAAAAGCAGTCTGTGAGACCTGTCACAATGTGAAAACAGTCAATAAAGATAAAAATAGTCCCAGATATTCATTGACTTTGTGTAACAAACCATCTTAAAATCTCAGATGGAAAACTGATAGCATTACTTTCTTATAATCTGAGATTCCTGACACGTTAAATGCAAATTTGTGTATTTTGGCTCCACAATTCATCAATACATTTAGCATCTATATCTATATATATATATATATATATATATATATATATATTCATATATATATATATATATTCACCTTAAAAAAATACTTTGGTCATCTCAAAATAAATTAAACTGGCTGATCTATCCGGAATTCTAAGATTTATAAACACTTACTTGTTTACGGGATTCAAAATTGATCTTCTTGTCCTACTAAGCTTTATTGTAAATCAATAAAGTCAACAAGATGTTACAGATGTCATGACAATGACTTCAATAAATGGGCATATATGACAGTAACAAAAAAACCTTCTCCACTTTGTGATTATCTAACCATCACTAATGCCTATTTCTTGATATTATCAAGGCATCATTATCAGAAATTATGCAAGTTTGCACACCAACATCCTCTCTCTTAGATTTAGCTAAATATATCTCCTTAAATACTTGCTTTTTTGTTTTTTGCTAAACTTCATTCAACACAAGGCTCGAGTGCCACTCAAGGTAGATGGTTACTGTGTGAAAGGAAGGGATAGAAAGTGAGGATAAGTAGAATAGATAACCACTAAACCTTGACTTGAAGAGGTTAAGATTGGTAATGTTCAGGGTAGCATCCGTGACGGTGTCTGTTCCACAAAGCAGTGCTTGGGGCAAAAACTGAGTGATGCTTGTTCTGTACAATAGAATACAGAGAAAAGGAGGATGATTCAGCTCTTTGGATGTAGTATGCTGTGTCTTAGATCTAAACTGGTGGAACTAAAGAATGGTGCTCATCTGAACACTTGCTATGGAAATATCAATAGATTAGCTGCTGCTGAAGCTTATCAGCATAAGCTAGTGGTGGCTCTGTAATGGTATAAGATGTATTCTGTTGGAGATTGTAAGAACCACTCACTAAACAGGAGTCCATCTTGATAGGTGGGACATGCATGAATCTTGTTGCAGACAAATTTCCAAATTTTATACTTACTATGTTTCTGGGTGATGCTACTTTCTTATCATCATGTGTACAGGTAACACAAACCTGGTTCCAGGAACACTCTGCTTACTCTATTAACCCCTGTGCTAACCAGATTTAAACCCTATTAAGCATGTTTCAAATATGTTTCAGACCTCACTAATTTCCCTGCAACCACACCCAAAAAACAAAAGCCAGCTAATCAATAGCCCTGAGACATGCCTAGACAGTTATATCCACAACACTTATAACCCCAGCACTTTATCATATAGTGTCACCATTTCTATTTAGCCGAAGAGTGAAACTATGTATTATTAAGTAGGTGTGTCTATTTTTTTGACACTTTAGTTTATTTATGTAATTATTACAGTAAAGTTTTAAAATATATATCATAAATCCTACCTCTGATGTCACAAGTTCATTAGCATAAAAATTTTATTATATTGTATTTACTTCTCATCACTGATGTAAAATAGCATATTTTTTTTTAATATAATGACATTTTCTTGTATGTAAGATTGTTTTTTTCATACGTGAAGAAAACTTTATTTTTCCTGTAATATGTTGATTTACCCTCCAGAAGGATAAGACTCCTCCCTCACAAAAGGAGCCACCTATTGGTTAGGGTCTTGCTAGCTCTAGTATAAACACGGCCAATGTTTACTGATAGACTCAAGTATAATAAAAAATAGATTTCAACAGAAATAACCCAGAAAGTGTTGATATGTTTTTAAAATCCACCGAAAAATTATTATTAATGTAGATTTTATAGTAACATAAATATTTTTGTTCATGTTATACTTAAATGATTTTTATCTCATCAAACATTCTCATAAGAGAAGATAAACTTACCCATTCAGACTGTTGGATTCAATCTTTATTAGGAATTATTGCAAAATACTTTCCCTTCCCCAATTTACAGGCAGAAGCACACAAATGCATGCTGGGATTTCTTCCGAGCCATCAAAATAGGCTGGTTCTTGGCTTCGTCTGACTCAGTCCCAGTATGTCTTGTCTTGAAGTCAGAATGCTACATTTGCTTGTCCGAACTTGCTCTTGTGTGTCAACCCCAATTCTTATTGTAATCTTTGTAAATTATGTTTGTTAGACAGTTCTGTCATTTATTTTACATTTAACCATGGTCACTCACTCTACAGAGATAAGAAAACCTTTAAAAACTGAAAAATATTCTCTATCATATGAGGAATGCTCCTAAAATGATGCTTACTATTTATAGTGATTTATTAAGAGTAGCTTAGATCTAGCACAAAGCCACAAGTATGGAGCACCAGTGAGGATCAAACTCAGTATTCACTCATAAATGATATAGTGAAACAAGCTTGCTACATCACATCAAAAATGTACAAAAGATACTAGCAGCAGTGTAACACCACAGGATTGAGCAAGTTTTCTACTCTAAAACACAGCTTTTCAACAAAGTCACCACCATTGGCTATGCATTTTCACAGTTCTCTTCCTTTTTTGGGTTGACAGCTGTGCAAGGACACCCAGAAAGTTTGTTTGCTTGTCATACATCACTGTTATCTTTGCTGAGTCTTATTACCCACTGCTTAACTGTGTTTACATCCACTATTTGTCTCTGTAAATGTTCAACATGCATTGATGAATGCCATTGTAAGCAATTTTTTTTTCTGCATGGAGCAATTTAGTGATTAAGTGCATTATTAGATTGGTAGCTAGGTCTCATAATTTCACTGTTGAATTTACTAGTTTAACCATTAATTCTATGCTAATATTTTCTTCTCTCACATGTCTCACTTACAGAACTTTTTTTCCCTGCTTTCCTTTCAATTACAATCTTCAAAAGTTTTAATGTCATTTGTCATATTGAATCCTTTTCTTTTATTGTCTTTTTGCTTTCTTTCTTTATGTAATACATTGCATCCTAGTGGCTTTTATTGTCTTTCTTGGGATAGAATGATTTATATATATATATATATATATATATATATATCTGGAGAGAGAGAGATAAACATCTCATTTACGGACTTTGAATGCAATGGACAAAATCTGCAGGTAAAATAAAAAAAAATTTTCAGGAAAAAAAAACTTTCAAATCATCAATGATGTATTTGCAGGCTTAGCGAAATGAGTTATATTAGTTCTTAAAGTGACCACTTGGTGGCGGTGGCGGGCTTTTCAATTTTAAACAAAGATGCGTGTACAGTATATAAAGTAGCTGTGAGAAATCTATTATTTTTGTTATTTTGATTAATATATCTATATTAAGTATATATTTATTTATGCCATAGTTACATGTTTATAATATTTACATTATGGTCATAACTATTGGTAGCTACTATAGTGGTTTTATAACTCAAAAATAATCCCTACCCATCTACAGACAATCGGCTTTAACAGACCACCGTATATATTGATGAGAGATTTCTCTCTCTCTCTCTAATATATATATATATATATATATATATATATATATATATATATATATCTATATAATAGCTCTTCATATACATTTTCATATCAGACACCATTTTGCGATACTGATGCTCAACTGCTCTGTGTCATACAACAAAAAGAAAAATTATGGGTTACAAAGAGATATTATTTTCCAAGTGGCCCTTGTATTTATGTTGACTGTTTACTATCAAGAGTGTTTGTATTATGTGTATATGTCTACTGAAAAGCTACTGTAAAAAGCAAATATTAATGTGTCAGATATTTTATGTTTTATTCAATGGAAGCCTTCAATCTTTACCTGAACATGTGTCATTTGCTTTATCTATTTTTCTCTCAATTAGGCTCTGCACCAAAGTATTACGTCATCATGGTAGGACAAATGAAGCAAATATATTCTACAACCGAAATTTCATCATGACAATCATGCTCATAAGCAACTTTGGACTTTTAATAGTTGACCGTATCCTTTTTTGGTAATGAAAGAGTTTAGTAAGCAGTTATCTGGCCACAGTGATACATGCATGCTTCAATTGTTAAATTAGAACCATTTGAGAAGAAGTCAGATTGTGACCCTTTGAAAGGCTAGATGATTATTTTGGGAACAGTTGTAGACCTGTTCCCAATTGAATGAATATATATATATATATATATATATATATATATATATATATATATATATATATATATATATATATATATATATATGTATATGAAGAAAAATATACGGAAAAAACAAACAAAAATCCTAATATGCAATTATGCTGTTTTAGACTGATCAAAACAGATAACTCTTATGTCCATCATCTTTTCATGTTGAATTGAATATAGTCTAATGTAAATTATGTTTTATGAATATGTCCTGAAGATGGTCTACTAGACCGAAACGTCTGACGTTGACATTATATTAACATTAAAACAGCATAATTGCATATTAGGATTTTTGTTTTGTTTTTTCCGTATATTTTTCTTCATACTGTTGGATCTATATCCATATATTTGCTTACACACGCACACACACACACATATATATATATATATATATTCACTCTGTACAAGGCCCAAGAGTCACTCAAGGTAGAGGGTTACAGAGTAAGTGGCACCATTTATTGGGATATATGAAGACGATAATGGTTAACCCTAGACTTGAACAGGTTTTGTAGTGATCTTGGGAGATAGCTCCACAATATAGCAATTTATGAGAAGTTGTTCAAGTGGAACTTACATCTAACCAATAGAATACAGTAGAAATGTGAGTGGTTCACTACAATGTGCATGGCATAGTGGGTCTTAGCTTTGAAGGTCAGAACTAATGGAATTAAGGAATGTAGTTCATGTGAGCACTTTCCGTTGAAATAGCAATAGAGTAGTGAGAGGTTTGTATCATTTCATCTGTGGGAAATGGCTTGTAAGCTGGAAAATAATTAATCACCCACAAGAATGTAGACACACTTTTGGACCCTATCAAAACTGGAAATTCATATATGGCAGCAGTACTTCATTTTCAGCCTTATCTGGCTCTTGTAAAGGTAGCAGAAAGCAAGAGGAGTTAGGTACATACTGGAGTAGTGCAATGAACTGACCATTTTTCCAGCATCTTTAGTAATAGATTATATGTACAAGTTGCAATATGGAACATAATGGGACTATACTTGACATATTCAGTTAGCCCACCTGCAACTCTTGCTGCATTGTGTCAACTGAAGCCAGTGATATCAAATAATGTATTTCAGGATGGTATCTGTATGATTGGATACATGCAAGAGTACAGTCATGTGGATGTAAAATAATAAGGAAGTTGAACACAGGATAGATTGCACTAGGTGTACTTTTGTCCATCACCATAAGATGTTACAAAACCAAAATATTAACCTGAAAATTTTAGTCATGTTTTTAAATAGCCTTGTTCATTCAAGACTTTCATATAGGTGTCATGTATGGTGTCCAATTCATTCAGAAATTTTAAACTATGATTGGTATACAGTCCTATTCTCAGATCAATGATTAGGAAAACTCCAAATGAATTAATCATTTAATATAAAACTTAAAGAAATCAATCCTTCATCAGATCTTATAGACTGACACTACAAAATAACTGAAATACCAGTTCTTGTACAATTGCCAAAGTTAAGCAGACATCAAGCCTGATCAGTACCTAGATGGGTCACTGCTTGAGAATGCTGTAAGCTTGGATGTATATATGGTGTAATGTATGATGACTCAGAATTGGAAATTGGAGAGCTAAGTTCCAATTCCAGTCAGGTTCATTATATTCACTTACACACAAATACCCTTGAGAAAGGTATGAATCCACCTCTTATTTCCCCACCTGTGGGTTAAAAAGTAGGGTTTGTATGAGTAAAACATTATTATCTCCTCCACCACAAAAAAAAACTTTTACAATCTAAGAATTTTTTCTAGCTTTAAATAACTTGCAAAAAAAGGTTGTTAAGCCATAAAAAACAAATCAATCAACTACAGAATCTCAAATAATAAAAACCACATAAATTGAACACTTCCAACAGCAGCAACAAAAAAAAAAATGGACTGCCCATTTAACTAGAAGGGAAAATAATATAATCATGATGTTAACTTTCCACACTATCAAAAACAAAAAGAAAGGAAGGAAACTCTCATCAATATTAGAAAGAACTACAACATTTAGTGGACTTGAGGAAACTAATTTCCTGAAAAAATGTTTTAAAGAAAATATTAAACTTCAATGAGCAATAACACTGTTTGGTTAACCCTTAGCCTACTGTCGGTGACTATTTTCACCAAGCAAAATGTTAGCCCAGCCAATGTAAGTTGAATTTGAATTTCTTGGTTGTGCATTTATATCGTTCTATGGCAACACCTAAAACAATCTTGACTGAAATTGAGAGACTGGCTACTGCAATTTCAAATATATAAAACTAATATATAAAACCCTGCATTTTGAGGGGATTCTATATACAGTAAAAAGGTAAGTAATATTTATAAATGATACAGAGTGCTAAATGTTAATGAATGCCAAATGTTTCCTGTACGGAAAAAGATATTGTCACCATTGCCACTAATATGGCATCAAATTACTGTTGATGCACTACTTATTTTGGAATCTGTCTATATGTTGAATTGTATATAGGATCCTTTACTGTTAACTAGTTATAATAACTGTACAGTTTGACATGATTAAATGAAAATACATATTATTAATTGAAAATACATATTAGGGCTTTGCAATTTTATTTTTGGCAAGGGTATGTATATATATTTTTCTTTGAGTCTCTTTAAAATGATGCTAGAGAATGTTAAAGAAAATTACATTTTTTTTTTTGACTTGATCCTCTTTTGTATAAATATGACCTAAAATAAACTTATATCATTTACTGTTTTATAATAGCACAACTTTCTATCGTCTACTGATATATAATGGCATAAAAATATCAAATGCACAACTCAGTTCATTTTGTTAGTCAGTATTAAAAGTAATGATGTTCATCACTCAAATACCTGCTAATGTCAATATACAAAGAAACTTCTTTAAATATATTCATTCACTTTGTTCTATTAACAAACAATTTTGCTTTATATGTTTTTTGTTTTTTTTTCAAAAGAGAACGTTTGATTGTGTTTTAGTTTCTGTATTGATTTTCTATAAAATCTGCATATTTCCTGTTTGTTTTTCTATTGATATTTTCCTGCAGTTTGCAGATTAAAAGATACATTAGTTTTAGAAAAAGGATAAGCAATTCCCTTTCCATTTTTTTGTTTTTTGCATTTCTTTCTATCTTAAAATCTTTTTATTGTTATTGAAATTAAACACTCTCATTTAAATCTGACACAAGACTGAGACATTTTTCTCAATGTTCAAGATTAAAATTTTATTTTTTTTATTTTTTAAATACTCCCCTGTCTTTTGAACAGAAGTAGAAGTTTGTCATTGGTTTCCTTTTTAGAGTTGAGTTTCAGGTTCCTTCTAAAGTTGTCTCATTCTTTTTCATTCCCAGTAGCCCCTTGCACCTTAGTGGAACTATCATCTTACTTGAGGTGAAATGATTTAAAAAAATGAATAAAAACTTTATTGGGATTGTCAATTTATGGCAGCAAGCAAACCATATCATTAAGGTTTTTAGTGACTCTTGAAAAGCCTGCAATTAACTATGTAGGTCTTGAAAGGCTCTGAATTTCTGAAAAATCATGGAAAGAACTTTGAAAATGTCACTTAGTTGTAATTTCAAATGATCTCTTCTGAATCTATGGAAGCTTAAAACTGAATATTAATTTATCATGAATAAATTAATATAAGCTTTCATTAAATTTGCTGAAACACTGAGGATTAAAATCTGGAACTAGTTTTCAACTATACATATTTTTCTGAAGAAATGGATGTTTTTTTTTAATCTGTTATCAATTGGAAATTAATAATTTTATCATAAAATTAAAATCTCTTTCAAATCCAAACATTTTTGTTTTGGCCTACTTCCATGATGATAATTTCAAGATAACAAATAATTTCTCACATAGTCTCTTTCTTCCAGTATCTTTATGCCAAATTTTGTCAGCAACCAAACTGACTACCCAGATGAACTGAGAAGGGAATAACCTGAGCACTGAAACCTGTTGCTTTAGGTTAGAAAAAGATGTTGAAAAAGCTAATTTTAACCTTGAAAAGACTACTTATTGGCCAAAAATAAAAACCTTTAATAACCTGGATTTTGATTTTTATATTTTTGCTAGGAACTCTGATAGATGAGAAATAATAAAGGAGTGATATTTTCTATTTATTAATTTTGAGCCACATTGTTGTTGTAGACAAACAACACAAGTAAAATATGTAACAAAAATTTCAATGAAGGAAAATTACTTGTTAAAATTAATTGACAGTGTTTCATTTATAAGTAAGGATATATTAAATATTTGGGGTTTTTTTGTCTTTTAAAGCCCTTAAAAATTCCAAATTAAACTATTAATTGGTAGAATAGAAATGTTGAATAAATGAAATATTATTATTCATTTAAATGCCACCTTTAGGCAACTTCCGCTTGATGTCAAGTGACTTTCTATTTATAGAATTTATAATTATTTGCAAATGATAATTATCACTAAACTTCATTATTAATATTAAAGTATCACTGCTGGTATGCCACTATGTCTGGTAGAAAAGAGTGCAGACAGATCAAGGATTCTTCCCTGCTTATTTCTTCTTATTTTCTTTAAAAGATTAAATTAGCAATCAGTAAGTTGTCTCTATATTTTTTTGTCAATTTATACTTTGATAAAATTAACTCAGGGTCTAGATGTACTGGAAATTATTTTATTTTCCAAGCATTTTAATTGTGTTGCATTAGCAAAAACAGTGCTACAGTGTGCCATTTTTTGCTGTGTTGCAGCAATCATATAGAAATTAACAATAATGTGAGCAACATGTTGAACTATTGACCACTTGGTATCCAGTCATCTAATCCTAACACCAAAGGA